ACTATCCACCATCACATGAGAATTAATACTAAGACGCGATCGCCACCTCTTTGCACAGTGCTGGAAACTTCGCCCACGTAACCGGCACTACCTAGCCCGCTCAAGCACTGGATATCAGACAAAGCAGTGGCACTGCTTAAATCTCGAAGGAATACTCCAGCCCGCCCCGAACACAACAGGGTCCGACGAATTATCGGACGTCGAGTAAAAGTGAGCATGCGAGCGGACCATGAAGTCTGGTGGACACGGAGTCAGGGAAATGGAAGAGGTAAGGAAAGCTGGGAATGTCCGAATATTATCTCAGTCGATACGTGCGATCAGCCCCCGGGAAACTTCTGTGATGGAACCACCAAGGATCAGAATGGAACGACTATCTTGAATAAAGAACGCCTCGACAGGTGGGCCAAATACTTTGAACAAGTTATCGTGGCTACCAGCTGCCACTCATCTGGAGCCCACAACTGACGCACAACCCTGGACAACGAACGTGAAACCCCCTATGTCCTCAGGTCTGTGACTGCATATGTCCTTTCAAGCGCCACCGAGCTTGTGGTCCGGATGACCTCTTACTTACACTGTTCAAAGATGGAGTGAAATCCTCAGTCAGCGCTTGTCTGACCTATTTGCCTGAATGTGTGGAGAGTAACCTGCACCAGATAACTGGTGAGAGTCGGTGATAATGCCCACTTGCAAAACAGGCGACTCATAGTGAGAACGGTAATCACAGGAGGATCAGCTTGCTCCGGTCGTAACGAAACGGTTGACATTGAATTTCATTCGTCACCTTATGCCGACTCCTGAAGTACTGACTCGAGAGCAAACAGCGGGATTCCGGCCAGGAAGACGTTGTCAGGTGCTAGAACAATGTCAAACGTAACAACGGTCCGCAATTTTCGTATTTTTGGATTTCCAAGGCGCATGCGATTGGGTTGACCGGTTCATCCTCCTGGACACGAAAGCGAGATGGTCCAGTGGTTAGAGCGCGTACTGACTGGAAGGTCTGTGATTCGAACCCGACCTCAGCCTCTCAACTTCCCCCGTCTCGGCTTGGGCAAATTGGCAGTATCCCAGCCCTCGTACTTCCTTCGGGCGGCATGGCAGCTAGGCACCAACAAGGAACCATAGCTGAGCGCTTATCTCCTTGACAGGCTTGCCCATCAAGTCTGCGAGCATGATAAGTTCTTTGTATTCTCGGACTTCCGGGCATGTGGGAGTATACAGAGACTTCCCCAAAAGCTTCCGTAAAACAGCGGTGTCCGTCAGGGATGCCCACTCTTTTCATTCCTTTTTAACTTCGTGATCGATGACATGGGACGAACGCTGGAAGGTCTCTAAAACCCTGGTGTTCGAATCGCCTGTGAAGAAAGCCTTGTCGATCTGGAATACGCAGACGACATTCTTCTTATCATCGGAGATGATGAACTGACCAGTCATCCCGTCCTTTGGTATGCACTTTGCACCCACAAAGTGCAAGGTCATGCTCCTGGAAGTGCAGTCACTGAACAGGCCACTTATAATCCAGGGAGAGGCGCTCAAATTTGTGGAGCGGTTTACCTATCTTGGAAGTTGCATTAGTTCTGGCTGTAGTGTGGCAGATGAGGTAAGTGCACGAATTTGCAAGGCTCGGGTCACGTTTGCTAAGTTGTGACACCTATGATGTCAAAGCGTTGTATCCCTGAATCTCAAGGGACGTGTATCAGGCCCCAGTGCGGGCTGCTTTGTTGTACGAGACTTCGCCCGTTCAAACAGCGGAACTGAAACGTCTTCAGGTGTTTGACAATCGTTGTCTCAGAACTATAGCTCGTGTGGGTTGGTTTCAGCGAATCCGTAACGAGGCAGTCAGCAAGCGAGTCTTCGGTTGTGCAGTGGGGACTTCCAGTGAAGGATGTCCATCACCAGAAGCTGCGTTGGTTAGGCCATATAATGCGCATGCCAAACCATCGTTTGCCTAAGAGTGCGGTTTTCGGTGCCTAATTCAGGGTAGCGGAAGCAGAGTTGGCCAGCCCTTGACCTGGCAGAGGCATAGAAAGTTCACTTCAAGAAAACCCTAGTGTCCGCTGTCTCGTGGGTCAGACTTTGAGTCAAAGGCTCAAGATGGGGTACCCCAACCAAACCCCCTTCCTCAGCCTGGGCAACCTTGAAGTATCATTTGTCCGCGCAGTTCGATGTCCCTCTCCAAACATCGCTGGTCATTTGAGTGTCAATCATCTGACCAAGGGTTTCATGCTCCTCGCTGCCTACTAACAATGAACAAAATAAAACCCTTTTAAATCCATAGAATTCTTTCCATATGGGAGCTTCTAACGTCCATACTTGATGTCAAATTGGGAAACAGACAATGCGTGCTAAGACCCTATACTCCCTTAAAATTGATACATGTTGTGTTGCCGAAACACGCATACAATCAAACTCTAAGCTTGTCGGAATAGAGGTGCATGTTTGTGGTGTCGGTTTATGCCCCAATGGACTGCAGTTCTGATGTTGAGAATACTTTCTACCGAGAGCTATCCGGGCTCATTCATCAGGCAAAACGCACTGACATTTTTATTCTTGCATGCGATTTGAATGCTCAAATAGGTCGTCTTTGTTCCTTGGAATCACATTTGAGTGGTCGATGCTCGCCGCACAGACAACGGAGATAGACTCCTTCAGTTGTGTGCTGATCATGAACTGTTTCTGGCACGTACGAACTTTCAACATAAGCGTTCGCAGCGCGTAACCGGGCGGCCGCCAACTGCGAATCAATTATGGACCCATTTGGACCACGTGACCATCGGCCACCGGTGGATAGCCAAAATTCGAGACTGCCGTTCCTTGAGGCACACCACTTGATTCGGAAGACGCCATGGTGCGTGCACGCCTGACAGTTCACTTCCCTTCAGGCCCTCCAAAGTCAGTAAGAAGCATGCCTATAAACTGCCTTCAAAGAACTACCATAGCTCGACAGTATCGATTTGAACCAGCCCAACAACTCATCACGGTAAATCAACACTGTGGTGGCAGTGAGTACATAGATGAAGTGTGGCAAA